GTTCAGGGTTAGTTGAAGGTTCGACAGAATACTAATAATAATAATATTATGATTGTTATGATTATTATTAACAATAGCAATCATAACCATGGTATTAATAGAAATAACAATAACAACAATAACAGCAACAATAGTCAGAGGTAATAGACATAACTCTAATACTAAGAATACGAATAGTAATAATGAAAAAGATAGCAAAAGTAATCATAGCTATAATCATAATCAAATTAATAATACTCGTAATACTCATAACAAAAAACATTCAAATTAACAAAAAAACAATAACCATAACAATAGCTAGCAACAATAATTCCACGGCTTGCCTGGCTCCCTAGGTCGAGGGATTGGGGTCACCAATGCCGGAAGAACCCAAAAGGCCAGTTTCTTTGTCACAAATGCTTCAGAAGCTAGAAAAGCTCTAAACCACAAACCCAGAACCCCACAAGAAAGAAGGTTTGGGGGGGAGGGGGGTGGGGGATATTGGAACCCTGCAAAAGGAACCCCCTAGAAGGAACCCCCTATTCTCGCAAACCTCAAACCCCAAATCCTAAACGACTCTAAACCCTAAGCCATAAGCCTAAACCCTAAACCTTAAATCCTATTCCCCAGGGTAACAGGTTGTTTTCCGATTTAGGTAGCGTCCCTAAACCCTAACCCCCCACCATAGCTTCACCAAACTCTAAAGCCAACCAGCAGCCCACCTCAAGAGAGGGCGAAGGAACCCGCTTCTCTTGCTTAATGCGGTTTTGTAGGAGAGCAGATAGCCCCACAAGAGAAAGTGGGAAACATTGGTCCGAGTCGCAGACCCAACCTGAAACCAAGGGTTTAGGATCCTAAACCCTGAACCCTAAACCCTAACCCCTAAGCGCTAAGCCCTAAACCCTAACCCGAAGGAAACCCGCTTCTCTTGCTTAATGCGGTTTTGCAAGAAAGCCTAAAATACTCCCTAAACCCTAAACCCTAAACCCTAACCAGAAGAAGTGCGAGGATGCCCCAGGCTCCGGACCATACCGCCCACACACTCACCCGTGTGGACGCCTACGCGGCAACCTTGGCATGCGACTGGGGAGGCAGGGGGGGGGGGGGGGTTAGGGTTTAGGGTTTAGGGTTTAGGGTTTAGGGTTTAGGGTTTAGGGTTGAGGGTTGAGGGTTTAGGGTTTAGGGTTTAGGGTTTAGGGTTTAGGGTTTAGGGTTTAGGGTTTAGCGTTCAGGGTTTAGGGTTTGGGGTTTAGGGTTTAGGGTTTATGGTTTATTGACATTATTCAGGGTTCAGGTCCAGGGAAAGTTTCGAGGAGTTTCGAGAAAAGTTTCGTTTTTGGACTTTTGAATCATTTCAAGTTGCAGGGGCTTGAGGGTTTAGGGCTTAGGGTTTACAGGGCTTTGCAGGGCGTTGTGGGCGCGTGGCAGGTTGATAGGGTGTACCTCTCAAACCCCCAGACCCTGCCTGACCTGTAACCTGCAAGCCCTAAACCCTGAAACGTAGTCTAAACCCTGATACCCCCGAAGCCCAAACCCCTAAACCCTAAACCCTCAGCCTAAACCTAAACCACTCTAATGTCCACCGCGCAACTGATGTTCTCACCGCATTTCACGGACCAAGCTCGTGTGGCCATTGTCATCTGAAGGCCGAACAGGACGACATGCCTCGGTTTCGGGATTCTCAAGCGAACAAAGGATTAAGCATGTACGTATGTACAGACACGCATATATATATATATATACACATACATGTGTATATATATATATATACATACACGTGTGTATATGGATATGTATGTATATATATATATATGCTCCCGCCCCCCCCCCCCCCCCATGATCCATGTTTCTGCTTCGAAACAGGTGGATCTTGGGAGGAGAGGGGGCCATGAGCTAGCGACAAAAACACCGACAGGGCCGATAAAGACCTATATCATTTCAAGTCAGGCAGGTCATTTACATCAACAAGGTAGAAAAACACCCGAAAAAAAATCATGTTTTTTAAGAAAACTCGAGCCGGCTCGAATCTTCCAAAAAAAAACTGACACAGTAGGTCGCCCAAACGCGAGCAGGCTCGAATTTTCCAAAAAAAACCTAAACTGCAGAGTAGGAGGAGGAGGAGAAGTAGTAGTAGCAGCAGTAGTAGTAGCAGTAGCAGTAGCAGTAGTAGTAGCAGTAGTAGTAGTAGTAGTAGTAGTAGTAGTAGTAGTAGTAGTAGTAGTAGAGCCTGCTCGAGTTTCTGGGGCCTTGAGCTTCAAGAATTTTGGGAAAATTCGAGCCGGCTCGAATTTTCCAAAAAAAAAAAAAGACACAGTAGGTCGCCCAAACACGAGCAGGCTCGAATTTTCCAAAAAAATCCTAAATTTCAAGATCTATGGTTCCAGCAGCCCGCTAGATCCTGAAAGTTCGGTTGTTTTTGGAAAATTCGAGCCTGCTCGAGTTTCTGGGACCTAAAGCTTCAAGAATTTTAGGAAAATTCGAGCCGGCTCGAATTTTCCAAAAAAAACTGACACAGTAGGTCACCCAAACACGAGCATGCTCGAGTTTTCCAAAAAAAACCTAAATCTCAGGATCTATGGCTCCAGCAGCCCGCTAGATCCTGAAAGTTAGGTTTTTTTTAGAAAATTCGAGCCTGCTCGAGGTTTCGAGACCTGGAGCTTCAAGAATTTTAGGAAAATTCGAGCCGGCTCGAATTTTCTAAAAACATGCTGAAACCATGGCTGTGTGACCCCAACCCCTCATAGATGACAGAATGTAGGTTTTTTTTGGAAAATTCGAGCCTGCTCGAGTTTTGGTGACCTAGTGCCTCGAGAATTTTCGGAAAATTCGAGCCGGCTCGATTTTCCCCTATATCTCTTGAATTTCTGACTGCGGTAATTGATACCATTAGTAGCATTAGTTACTAATTCTAATTCGATTGTTAAGTTTCCCATATGTTTTTAACGGCAAATATCTAACTTGTGAGAAGAGGCCACGCAATGGTTTAAATCCAACAGCCGTTTTGTTCTTAAACCCTTGACAATTAACATAAGAACTACTTTTGTGTAATTTAAAACTTAAACTATCAATGGGGATATCTTCGGGATTAAAAGTTCCCATTTTTCTAGCATAGATAATTTAATTACATATACATACCTTCAACTTGTATCCAATCAAGTATTTCAAAACTATATGAATTGTCTTTACTATTGTTCTTCTTCCTACCTTTCACCTGCTTAACTGCTTCATCTACTTCATTATTCTCAACTAACTTCCTTATCTCTTCGTAAGCATTTTGTTTAAATTGCTTCTCTATCTTCGATTTCTCTATTTGTTCGTATGTTGTTGCTTTCCTATGAAACGCTATGAATATTATGTCGATTATTGCATCAAATTGTTGTTAAAAACTCTTCTTCGGTTACAGGTAGATGTCCTGCTTTGTTTTTAACATTGCCTATATCTTCATAAGGATGATTTTGTAGAGGGTCTAATATTGATTTCTTTGATGTTATATTTCGTTAATGAAACATACCAACGGGGTCTCCTGCTTTCCGTATTCTTAAATTTGTCCCAGTGTCTTCTGGTCGCTGTCCTGATACAAAAGGAGAACCATAACTACGACTTCTGAATACATTACCATAATCATTGTTTATTTGTTGTCCCGATGCTGAACCTAAACTATGACTTACAATACCAGAAATTCCAGCTTTTTTTCTTTCTGTAACCGTCTATTTCAATAAAACCATCTTATATGAACTTACCTACATCTTTCTAACGCTGAGTCTGTTGCGTCTTGTATAAAGGAAGTTTTCAATCATCATAAACATCTCTACCGCTTGCGTCCCAGCAATGTATAAAATACAACCATTTTTGATATATCCCGTCAGGATTCTCATACGCTAATTTAAGTCCTTGCGTGTCCGTTAAGAATGTCTCTGTCTTTGCGAAGTCGTTTCTAACTTCACTATGTAGTCTGCTTCTTGTGTTAGGTGCTTTATTTGAAACCCCTTCATCTCTTCTTTTATGTTTATGCATTATACAATGGTTTATAAATCATTTTTATCTAACCAATGAATATTGTTGACTTTGAAGAAGGTGTATACTAAAAACCCTTTTTAGAGTGAATAACAGAGATTAGCAAACCACACAAAACCAAATCCAGAAACGGATTCTGTTTGTAGCTTTCTGTTGTTTAAAAGTGTAGATAATCAATAGCAAGTTGTAGCTTCAGACATGGCAAGACACGAAAGTATCGTAAATACCGGTGTTTTTCACTTCAACAATATGTGTAAGTAAGCACAGGTGCAGAAGGACAAGCAAGAAAAGGATACATATGGATCATGGGGGGGGGGTGGTGACCACATATATATATATATATATGTCTCTCTCTCTCTCTCTCTCGCTCTCTTCCGATGATAATATAGCACTAACACCGGAATAGGAAAAGGTGCGCTTGTTGGCTTCAGGGGGCGACTGTAAGGGCTGCCAACCCTTCAGCAAAGGGAATAAAAGGCACATACCGGCATGCTAGTGTGCATTACACCCCAAACCCTAAACCCCAATCCCTAAAACCTAAAGCCTGCCTGCACTGAAACAGGTTCCTGCAGGGATTCGGGGTCTGCATGGTTTCGGACGCAGGTCGGCGCTTAGGACTTAGGGTAAAGGATTTGGCGTTACAAATGCTAGGTAGCCCCCTGCGCACTATCACACCCTAAACCCTGAACCCGAAACCCTGAGAGTAGCTAGTGCTGGCACGGACTCTTCAAGGGAGCGAGGGTTTAGTGTTTAGGGTCTAAGGTTAGGGTTGAGGGTGCAGCTGGGCTTAGAGTCGTAAAGTCTTGCCGGGTCTTCCAAACATTGGGTTTAGGGTTTATGGTGTCCATATCCTATGCGGCTGAAGGAATATTCATTCAGGTGGCCATGAGAATTATCCTATGTTAGCTGAAGGGAGACTTCCAAGATTACCTTTCTTACTGGTTTCCATGACCCGTGACTACTCTTGTAGTATCATAATCCTCTGGTAGTATCCACCATATTTTCCTTCAGTTAGTATGGAAGCTGTGCCGGTAGATCCAAGCCGTTGCGCCGAGGTGCAACGGTTTGTTGTCAACCGTTAGCGGGAAGTCCGCCTGTCCAGCCTGAGCTTAGAAATCCTGTGAAGCCCTAAACCCATCTAGCGAATTAGGAATGCAGGGCGCCCCTTGTATGTTCTGGGAATTCCGTGTCGTGTGTGACTGTGGCAGTCCCCACAATGAATCCTGGAGCCTAAAGTATGGCTCCGTACTACATTTCCCCAAACCTGAGTTGCCTCGCCTTTGACTGAGGCCTTTCAACCTATCTGCATGCTGAACCTTAATAGGGCTGTGGTCCGATCATTCTGATAGTTTAGGGTTCTTAGGATGAAGGCCGCAGGATGCAGGACTTAGGGTTTAGGACTAGGATTCTGCAAGAGCCTACAAGGGCTTCCAAGGATTTAGGATTTCGGGTTAGGAATTTGGGACCTAAGCCCTCCACCCGAAAGCCTAGCCCTAAACCCTAAACCCTAAACCCTAAACCCTAAACCCTAAACCCTAAGGACCTACAAAGGGCCCTGCAAGGGCCGTCTACAGGAGCCTCGAGGGCCTTCAAGGGTCTCCGAGGTTTGGGCTCTGGGCTTTAGGCGTTAGGGTTGGGGTTTAGGGTTTCCGGTTTAGGGTTTAGGGTTTAGGGTTAAGGGTTAAGCGTTAAGGGTTTAGGGTTTAGGGTTTAGGATTTAGTGTTTAGATTTGTTTACGGTTTAGGGTTCAGGGTTTAGGGTTTAGGGTTAAGACATCCCCAAGGACCTCCAAGGGCCTTGCAAGGGCTCCGAGGGTCAGTGAAAAGGGATTCTGGGAGGGTGGGGGTGAGACCAAACACGTAGTGATGGAAAGGGGCCTTGCCAATCGCCGGCTCAGGCCAATCGACCTTAAACCCAAAACCCTAAACCCTAAGCCCCAAACCCTAAGCTTAAAACCCTAAACCCTAAGCCTGAAACCCGAAACCCTAAAACCCTAAACCCCGGACAAGGGGCTATGTAGGCATCGCCAACGGTCTCGACCTTGTAAATGTCGTAGCGATCGGCTAGATCCTCTGCGCGTCAAGACGGTGGCAATCTTGGGGCTTGCGGTTCTAGGGCTCTATGCTTCAGGATGTAGGGTTTGGAGTCTTTCGGGTTGAGGGTGCTAGGGTTTGAGGGCATTCGGGTTTCTGGTTTTAGAGGCTTTAGGGTTTTCGGCTGGAGGGCTTGGGGCGTAGGGCTCCGGAGGGCTCATCTGACCTGTACCAAACAGCCCCAACATCCGTAAACATTAGGGTTTCGCGTACACGGTTTAGGGTTTAGTGTTTAAGGGGTAACCCCCAAGACGTGTAACTGGAAACTGCATGGCATTCTCCCTGGCTGAGTAGATTAACAGGTGAAGCATTGGGTGTTGAAAAGGTGTTGGTACCCAATGGAGGTGAAAGCGCGGCGAGTGCAAAGCCTGTCCCCGGCATCAGGTGTGAGACATACAAGTAACTACTGTCATGAGGAAGCTAAACCAAAATGGTGGAAGCGCAACGTGTGTGTGTCGGGCGCGAGACAGAGGGGAGGAGTTGGCAGGTTACCTACTCAGAACAGAAGCATTAGGAGTTAGCAGCTGTGCCCGGTTTAGTCAATACACTGATGCTGTTGTCGGAAGAAGCAAACCCGCACAGAAGAAACACCCTCTGCGAATGGATGACTGTGAACCACAGCAGCCCCGATCTCCTACCAGACCCCCTTTCGGCCTTTTCGGCCGCTGATATAGGTGTCGGAAAAACTACCAATGGTGTTCCCCTAGGCTCCCTACAATACTACAATGAGCCCCAAAACCCTATTCCAATCATTAAGGCCCCTAGACTTAGTTGCTGAGTTCAGAAGCCACAAAGAAGTGTACACTTTCAGTTCTATAGGGGATTCTAGTATCCCAAAACTGTCAAGTGTGCTCACTCAGCTACTAAGTATAGTAGGCCCCCGGCGTCAAAGAGGTCGAAGATCAATAAGCCCCCAAACCCCATTCTCATCATTCAGGCCCCTTAATGGATCTATACTCCCCTTAGAACCTTACTAAGAATACTATTTTTAAATATCCTCTTGGGTTTTATGTAAACAAAAAATTCCCAAGGGGGATATAGAGATAGGCCCCCGGCGTCAAAGAGGTCGAAGATCTGGCTGATGAATTTGACAACCTGCGCGGGAGCTCGCGTAGGTCTGCCCTCCCGCGTCTTGGGCTCTCTCCCAAGGGCTGGGCCCTGCTTGGGTGGGCTTAGGGTTTAGGGTTTAGGGTTTAGGGTCTAGGGTCTAGGGTTTAGGGTTTAGGTTTTAGGGTTTAGGGCAGTGAAGATTCTGCTACTTTGACCTAACTATGGCTGTAAACTTATTTGGGGGTACTTACAATCCTACTTATAAGTACCCATGAACCTTCAAGTATGCCCAGTCTTTGCGACGCTGTGGCGTGAGGGAGCATGCACGCACTATCAATACAACTGTGACTTCGTCAGTTCTGTAACAGATGTCCCATATGCCAAACCCCAAACCCTAAACCCCAAACCCTAAACCCCAAACCCCAAACCCTAAACCCTAAACCTTAAACCCCAAACCCTAAACCCTAAACCCTAAACCCTAAACCCTGAACCCTGAACCCTGAAGCCTCGCCTCCTCTGGCTCCCGGGTGCTCGCCAGGGCGGTGAATCCACAAAGGTCCGACTGGGCGATGGTGGCCTGGCGTCCGCGGTGCGCTTTGGGGTTTGGGGTTTAGGGTTAGGGTTTAGGGTTTAGGGTTTAGGGCTTAGTTTTAGGGCTTGAAGTTTTAGGATTTGAGGGTTTGGGGTTTAGGGTTAGGGATTAGGGTTTAGGGTTTAGGGCTTAGGGTTTAGGGTTTGGGGTTTAGGTTTTAGGGTTTAGGGTTTAGAGTTTAGGGTTTAGGGTTTGGGGTTTAGGGTCTGGGGTTTGGGGTTTTGGGTTTAAGGTTTGGGGTGTGGAGTTTCGGGTTTGGGGTTTGGGGTTTGGAGTTTTAGGAAGCCACTGCTTTCCCAATACTCCAGAGTCCGGTCTTAGCAGCTCCTAGCAACTAAATGCCTAGGGTTCAGTCACCCAGGATTTCGAAGGGTGCCCTAAACCCTAAACCCTAAACCCTATATACCCTACACCCTAAACCCCTGGCTTAAAGAGGGCGTCTAGGATGGCCCTTAAAACCCGGAAGAATGTTCCAAAAAGGGGCAGATGTTGCGATTATCCCAAGGGCTGACCTAGGTGTGTATAAAAGGGAACCCAACCACCCACACAAGGGAAGCAGGGTTCTACGGCTGCTTCAGGGTTTAGGGTTCAAGGTTTAGGGTTTAGGGTTTAGTGCTTAGGGTTTAGGGCTAGAAAAATCGAATTTTCAAGCCTGAGCCTTCAAGGACTCAAGCGCGATGGGGCTTGGACTTCTGACAAACCCCCAACCCCAAACCCTAAACCCCAAACCCTAAACCCCAAACCCCAAACCCTAAACCCCAGACCCCAAACCCCAAACCCCAATCCCTAAACCCCAAACCCTGAACCAAGTGCGACGTGTTTGCCATGATTTCTCGAGCTTAGGCTTAGGGTCTTGTCCCTAAGGGTCCATGTGCCCATGCGGTATATCTTTGGGTGCTAAAGCTACTGTATAAGAACCGGTTTAGGGTTTGGGGTTTGGGGCTTGGGGTTTAGGGTTCAGGGTTTAGGGTTTTTAAGGCCCAAAGATATGTTCCATTGGTACATGGACCCTTTGGGTTGATAGGGCTTTCGGCGTGTACAGCGGCTTATGGGGCGCAAAGTGTCTGGCCTTTAGAGGGTTCAGGGCTTCCAAGGGCTGCGGGGTGTACGTAGGTACCCTAAACACTCAACCCATTCCCCCTAAGCCCTAAGCCCTAAGCCCTAAGCCCTAAGCCCTAAGCCCTAAGCCCTAAACCCTAAACCCTAAACCCTAAACCCTAAACCCTAAACCCTAAACCCTAAACCCTAAACCCTAAACCCCAGCCCCCATACACCCCATAAACCCCACCAGGGCTTTGAGGGCCACTACCGTAGCAGTTGCCGAGCAGCATTCTTGTAGTGATGGGACACATAGTGTGCCAGTCCTTTGGTTCGGACAAGGTCTTGGGGCTTGGGGCTTGGGGCTTAGGGCTTAGGGTTTAGGGTTTAGGGTTTAGGGTTTAGGCAGCTTTCAGCGTGGCGGCAAGAAAGGAACGCTGAGGTTGGCTAGGATGGGCTTTGGAAGGCCTGTAGGATATCCCACAGCCAAGCTTGGAGGTTCATTTGGGTACTTATACAAGTAGGTTTCTAAGTAGGGCACCTATGGCTATAACCCTTACTTGGAGGTTCAGGGTACTTATAACCCCAAATAGAAGACTACTTATAAGCTAGTAGGTAGGGTACCCATCACCCCAGCTATAAGTACCCAAAACCTTCTCAAGTTGAGCTGTGACTGTGCGGTGCTCCCTGCCTTGCCCTACCTCAAACCCTTGAGGTTTAGGGTTTAGGGTTTGGGGTTTCGGGACCCTCAACCCCAAATACGTGACTATTTCTAGGTGCCGCACCAGACATGGCGAACCAGTTGCATCAAAACACCCCACAAGCAAGCCCCGACCTACAAACAAAAAACTCAAAAACAAACAAAAACAAACAAACACACACACACACACACACACACATCTCCGACCTTGCGGCAGTAAGGTAACCCTAAACCAAACCCCGACCACCCGAGCTCAGACGGGGCACTCTTGATCTCTTCAATGACCAGAGGCGGCATCAAGGTCCCCAGAATGCCCTGGGCTTGTTCGACGTGGGGCACACTCCAAGGGTTAGGGTTTTGGGTTTAGGGTTTGGGGTTTAGGGTTTAGGGTTTAGGGTTTGGGGTTTAGGAGTTTTAGGGTTTAGGGTTGGTGTACTGAAGAGTTGAACCCCACAACCCCAGACCTTGTTCTATGGCGATTGATCTAGATCACCATCCCTTTTTTGTGGTTCCTCTGACAAGACAAAGCCTTC